AGATATCTAAGTCATGTATAGCTACAGCTAAGCTATGTGTAGCACAGCAGCAGCCATGCCTAGCTACAGAGCTACAGAGCAGTAGCAGAGTAGCAACCATCAATGCAGCTCCAGCTTCAGCTCACTACAATAGCCTTAGTCATCCACACAGCAGCTATAGCTATAGCTCCAGCTTCAGCTCCATACAGCCTTCTCAGATCCAACTGTTAGTCTGTTAGAACTATAGTTAGTTATGACAACCCTCACCTCTGATTAGTGTTAATCTCTTATTAAGCATGATAAGTAATTGATTAGAATGAAATTCTGAACTGATTGTATAAGTGTATTATTTTGAATGCATTTCTATCTGTTTGATTTCTGAATGAATCTGTTCATGTTTTAACTTTGAACTGCGAATTGAAGGTCTTATCAGCGACCGGACCAGAAATTGAGTAGTGTTTTATGCTAATTAGAATTTATGTAATTTTATGATAGGTTTAATTAAAATTTGGTTTGGAATGATTAAATTAGATTAAATAATGTTAAATTCCATTAGTTTGCAATTACTACCAAATTGCCACTTAGTGGACAATTCTAGGCCATTGTTTATTCTCCTTGTTATATGTTGGCATCATTTTCATCCATCTTCCTAGGCCAAAACCGAAAAAAGAGAGAGAGAGATAGGAGAAAACTTGAGTACATCAAAATTGGCTTGGAAAATTAGAAGGAATTGAAGGGAATTTGCATAATTGAGCTTCCATACCTAGAATTCAAGACCTAAGGTAGAGAATTCATCCTTTGGTTTATGTATTTAAGTTGTTTCTTGCATGATTCATGGAAATTTGGAGATTAATGTCAAGAATTGGTTTAAAATGTTGAATTGAGAGTTAATCCTTGCATGCATGTGCATATTCTTGAATTTTGGAGTTGTTTCATGAGAATTTCCATATGCAAGTTCATATTTTTGTTATGGTCCATGAATTCATCATGATTTTGAGCTCAACATTGCAATTGATCTTGTTTTAAAACACTAGAGTTCATGAGAACTCATGCATGTTTGATCTTGCAATGTTCTTCGTGCTTACACTTAATTTTTGTGTTCAATTGACTTACCTATGGGCTTTGATTTTACAAATTGATCTTTGAAACATGTTGTATTATGAGTTTTCAAGAGTTTTCCAGAAAATTAGCCCAAGGGGATTGAATTTGAAGCTTTAAAAGTTGAATTTCATGCTTGAGGTTTAATCTGAAAATTTCAGAATTTGGACCCACGCTCACGCTCGAGCGTGCACTCTGAGTACATGCACTTCCGCTCGAGCGTAAGAAGTCACGCTCGAGCGTGAAATGCATATGCCCAGAAGTTCATGTGTTTTATAGTCCACTCGAGCGAGAAAGTTCATGCTCGAGCGAGGACCTGAGTCTCACGCTCGAGCGGGGGTTGAGCGTCCGTCGAGCGTGAATTGCATGCATCCAGTACTTTTCATGAAGTTTACAGTCCGCTCGAGCGTAGGAAGTCACGCTCGAGCGGAGCTCCTTTGTCTGCATGTCCGCTCGAGTGTAGAAAACCACGCTCGAGCGTAGACCCCTGTTTCAGCAAATTTTGAAAAGTGTTTTGAAGTGCATCTTTACATCATCTTTCCATCCTAGGCATTCCTAGGCCATGTTTAAGGCATCTTAATGAGGATATTGATGTAGAACCACACCGAGTCAAGATAGGGACTAAGTTGTTGATTCCCGAGTGTGTAACTTAGTGTGTGTTCGTTCTGTAACTGCGTAGGGTTAGCACCCGAGGACGCCCACTAGCTGCTTATAGCCCAGTGCCCTGTGAATAACAATGTTGTAAAGATATGTTCAATTATGATTATTTTCTGAATGATCAACTATACTGCTTACTGAAACGTTATTGTTTAATGAATGAATGTTTGTCCGATTTGTAAACTATATCCGTGGCATCCATAGCAATTTACTGTTACTGTACTGTTACTGCTACTGTCATAGAGATCTATGTCGGTTCCCATGTTCAGAACCACTACTGTTACTGTTATGATGACCATCGACTGACTGTTCGGTCTGTTAAGACCTACTGTACTGTTTTGATATGGGATGCACCACATATGCCTGCTATGGTTTCTAAGTGACTGATATGACTGTTTAATTACTGAAAGGACATTCATTCTTAACATCTTTACATAACTGTTATTCACAAGACTTTAGCTCACTATATATATATATATATATATATGTATGTATGTAGGTGTCCAGGCACCGAACCGAAGCTAGGAGCGTCGGATTAGCTCTTGTTTTGTCAAAGCCAACCATTGTGCCTCACTTCGAGGTTCCCAGTCCATTCAAGCTACGGCTGTTTTGGGGTGTTCGGATTCACCCTTCTGTTTCTGTTTTGTAATAGATGTTATAGACTCCTACTGCACAGTTATGGCATAGGGATTGAATCCCTAACTTGTATGTATGTATATCTGATATGTAATTGTGTTTTGGTTACGAATGTGACTTGTTCATAAAAGTTTTTTTACATTCAGACTGCCACAGCTCATTGGACACTTTTTATTTGATGTTTTGGCTTCCATCAGCCCCTTTACTCTGTGTTACTGTCATTACTGTTAAGTAGGCCTTCGATAATCACGGATTACTGGCCGGTTACGGTGCTAAACCCATAAGGGCAGGTTTAGGTCGTGACATTAGTAAACTGTAAGCAAGTGTGGTTAGATTAGGTAGTTAATAGTTACATTGCATCATATGTATATATAATGAACAATAACTCTCTGTGTTGTTTAATGAATGAAATAAAGCTCAATTTCTTTACTAATCTCTCAAACCTAACTCTAATCCCAAAATTTGAAGGGGAATTACTTGTCAGTGGAGTATAGAACAAAAAAATTACAAAAATATGGAGGGTGCAAGTAAATCTGTGGTGAAGTGTAAGTGAAAAACTCATATTTGTGTATTTTTATTTTTTTTTTCATTGTCTAATTGTTAAGTAATGCCCCCTAATCTCAACGCGTGACACCCAAGCAAGCTAAGTGTTAAAAAAATAAATAAATAAAAAATTCTCACATAACCATTATGAATAATAATTAATAAAAAAATTGAAGAGTGTTAGTTATTTCTTAATTTTTTCGTACAACTTTTTAGCTATATAATTAGGATCTTAAACCAGATTTCCATTTTATTTTTATGTTATAAATGAAAACAAGGATAAATTACAAATACACCCTTAAGGTTTGATTAAAATACAAATCACTCTCTGTGATTTTAAAAATTACATTTCATCCCTTGAAATTTCTAATTTCATAACAAATCACCTATTTTTTTAATAAATCATCACGTCAATTAACAATTTTTTATGATGTTAGAAATATGTTTCAATTAATAATTTAGGTAATTTTATAACTTTCTTTTTTTTAGTTAATTCTGTTGAATAAAAAATTATAACAAGGGGGTATTTGTAATTTTCCAAACTATAGGTAGCAATTTATACTTTAAACAAACCTCAGAGAGTGTATTTATAATTTATCCTAAAAAGAATAAATGACATTTAAATATGATATATACTCTATAAAAAATACTAATAATTTAATTTTATAACATTTTTGTTAATAACAAGTGAACATTTCTCAGTTGTGTTGAGTTAAAATTCATCATTTGAAGATGGAGGCCAGTTCAAAAGAAGATTAAAAAATATATATATATTGGAAGGGATTGTTATTTTCTCTCCCTTATGTTTGTTTGGCCACTAAAGTGGTGGGTTTGGATTAATAATTCCATAAGTCCTACCAAATTCATGTTTAGTTGTGCTATATGTTAAGGGAATATTAGTCTCATGGGACTACCAATTCTACTTGGGGGTAGGATTAGCATTCCCTTGGATGGGTAGGATTGCTAATCAATCTCCTTGTATTAAAACAAAATGTCTATTTTGCCCTTTATTTATCAAACATAATAAAATCTCTTTTTTTATACAATATTGGTTTTTATGTAATTTTATAGATTTAATCACAATTAATTAATACCATCACATTACTTCTCAAACAAACATACTTTATCTTACATCTTTAACTTAACCCAGTGCTATCACATTATTAATCTTTTCACTCAATCCCACCGTATTTATAATCCCCTAATTCGCCAAATAAACGTGACATAAAGTCCTTAATGGATTTTGAGATGTGAGTCAGGCCGGGCCTCAATTCAGAAAGATGAAGTGCCCAAAAGTCTAAGTAAGGGATTGAAAATTCTCCTTCTTAGTTTTTTTTTTTTTTTAAATTTTTTTTGAAGTTAATAATAAAAATGTAGAATTAAAAAAAAAAAAATCTTAATCTTCTGATACTCATCTTTTTCAACTTTTTAAAATTATTTTAGTTTTATAAACTGAAAACAAAAACTATGCCAAATAATAGTAACATTTGTTAAAAAAAAAATGTAGGCCTGCCTGTTGTGACAATGCTACGTAACTCAAATTTTGTGGCTCAAAAGTGGCTCAAATGGCCAAAACGACGTCGTTTTGAGTACAGAACAACATAAAAATGGCTAAAACGACATCATTTTGGCCATTGAGCCACTTTTGAGCCACAAAATTTGAGCTACGAGACATTTTCCTGCCTGTTGTGACCTTTATTTTAAAGTGATGGAATCTAGCATAAGTTCTTCATCATATAAAATAAAACATTAAGAAAAAAAATTAATGATTGTATATTATTTATGACACATTTTTATTTTGAATTGATTATGGTATAATTTTTTTCATAATGTTTAACTTCGCAAAATCGAAAAAAAGATTTAATTACACCACAACTCCCATAGTAAATATCATGTTATTTCTTCATTTATGAATCCTTATATTTTGATTCCTTCAATTATGAAAATTGTACAAATACATGTCTTTTGGATGTGGTCTGGAGGGAGTGAAACTAATACATTTTCATAGTTGAGGAAGTCAAAATGTACAAGTTTTTAAAATGAGGAGGTAAAATGATAAAAAGTTTTGCTGTAATCAACCCAAAAAAAAATCCCTAGGAATACCAACAGAAGCATAATTCCAAACGGTTCATTCTCAAACATGAACCATAAGAAGAAAACAATGGCACAGAATTAATACAGAGAAGTTGAAAAGTTGAGAATCTCTACACTATATAAATCACCCACTACAATTCAACAACCTCCAAATACATCAAACCATCTCGATCTTGATCCAACATTGCCAACAACAACAATGGCTGGAAAGCTCCCAAGCTTGAAGTCCAAGGCTGTAATTTATGAAAACAGCAGCGACGACGATGACAACGAAGACACTGGAAATGATCACCACCTAGGCCTTTCATTGGAGAAGCTAAACCTCGGTCCAAGGAAGAAGCTTCTTGTTCTTGGCCTAGGTGGGCTGCTTGTGCATCGGGTTTATAGCCGTTATGGTGTCAGGACTAATGTTCAAACCCGTCGTCGTCCTGATGGGATTGCTGGAAACTTTCTTGGTGAAAATTTCTGAAGTTATGCTTGCTTAATTGTTAGTTCCTACTTTTTTTATTTTGCATTGACATTTTTGTCTTTTCTAATCATGCAGTATTCAACAGGCCTTACTGTAGTGAGTTTCTGGAATTCTGTTTTGAGAGGTTTGAGGTGGGAATTTGGTCTTCTGCAAAAGAGTAATTCATGTTACCCATAATTTCTTTTTCTTTTTTTTTTAAAGAAAAAAAAATACATTTATGAATTTGTTAATTCACATGGTTTGACAAAAAAGCTTATGTTTACGGGTAAGTGAGAAGCATAGAAATGTACAACGGTGAGACTCCGTAGTACTTTTTCAAACCCCGCTTAACATCACACACACACACACAAAGATACACACTGTTTTCACTAATCATTGATTTTCTGTCACATGAACTGAAAATCCCTACAATTATGTGCTCTTAGCGCACATGTTAAGAACATTCTGTTTGAAATAGTGAGCTTCAACGACAAATTATATAAAATGTTGTTTATTCACATGTGCCTTTTGTGTTTGTTTTGTACTTGGTTTTTGAGTTCCTAGCATTACTATTTTTTCTAATGTGTTTTTTTGCTTTCACTACTTTGAAATCAATAGTTGGAACATAGATGGTGTTTTGACCACCATCAAGAGTGGATTGAAAAGCAAGCTTCTGTTTGTATGGGTATGTATAATATATGATTTTTGTTTTTTTTTTTTGTTTTTGGTTGCAAGTGTGTTTTGAAGAACATAAATGTTTCCAAGTTCATGTAGTTATAGCATATGATTATGTGCCTACCATTTGGTGTTTTTATTGGTGAGGGTTTGATGCTTAGGACCAAAAACAATGCACTGATTCTGGGGTTATGAGCTTGGAGAAGAAAAACAAACCAATATTCTTGAAGGAGATGAAGAAACTATGGGAGGATCGTACTTTGCCATGGCCTTGTGGACAGTACTCTTCATCAAACACATTGTTGATAGATGATGATCCCTGCAAAGCCCTGCTCAATCCCGTAATTTTTAGCTGCATCATATAATTCTTCAGATTTCAAATCAGTTGAAGGTTAAGTCAAGCACTTAATAGCTCTTTTCACCAATTTTTTGCAGCATAATACAGCGATTTTTCCTGATTCCTACAAGGTTGAGAATGGCAATGACACTGTTTTAGGTAAGATGATTGATTTCAAATCTTGGTTTAGTAAAATGTTGGTGTCTAGACATTATAGTGATAATCAAAACAATCTTCTTATGTTGTCATTAGGTCCAAAGGGGGAGCTGCTGGAATTCTTGGATGGCCTGTCTGATGTTGACGATGTTCAATCTTATGTAAAAGAGAACCGTGTTGGGCAGCCAGCAATCACAGAGACACATGCAGAATGGAATTACTATTCAAAGATTGTTCCTAAATTTTGTTAGGAGGAGATCAACAAAAGAAGACGATGATTCAGTTTTACAATGCAGTGTGAAATTATGTGTTGGTAATACACAGATTTTTGCTATGGGTTGAATAGTGCTAAGTTTTTGGAATTTGAACGTTGTTATTTCCTTCTATGTTGAAAATTTCTGGTAAATCTTCGGTTTTTCTTTATTCGTTGAATAAGTATTTCAATCAGTAGAGAACCATTTTTTCTATATTAACTCGTATTAGAACATTTCAATTCTGTCTCGAATCCTCCTAGTGAAAATCTTTAATTGTATCCCAAATTGACATGTTATTGTGAGCCTGAACATTGCAAAAAGCAATTGGCAGACTTTGAAAAACAAATGTGACATTGTAAAATTATCACTACAATCTTAGGCAAAATGTTTAGAGCAGTCTTTTTCAATATAAATGTCACGACAAGAATGTAAAAAGTTAAAATCAGCCTCAGTAACCAATCATAATGTCAGTTTCTTTGAGTATCTAAAGAAGACCTAATATTGTCTTCAAGATAAAAATAAAAAAAAAAAAAAAAAAAAAAAAAAAAAAAAAAAGAACTAAAAAAGTGAACAAAAGAACACAACCTTATGTTTGTCACTATTCTCCTTGCAGACGCGTTGATGTCCAGAGATGGCCTCTGATCGGACATGTTTTTCCATTCAGCGCTGTCAGTTGAAGTGGCATTCATGTTCTGTTTATCTCTTGTGTGCTTTCTTTTGTGTACCTTGTAACTGTTTGGCATGAAGCTCCCCACCACAATCTACCAGAATCCAAATTATAAAGTAAAAACAAATGAAAGGATACCCCAAATTTAGATATTGTATTCTAGATATGAATTTCAAGATTAGATTTGAGAGCTTTACCATGAAGAAAGATATATAATGAATTTGACATAATAATGTAAAAGTAATTATTTGAAATTTGCATTACATTTAAATATTTTACTCTACTAAATCTCAGTGTTTTTTTTTTTTTTTTTTATAATAATAAAAAAATTAGAATTTTAAAATAAGTTTCTGATAATCATCTTTTTTCAAAATTTTCGAATTAACTTTAAAGAAAAACTATACCAATATAATAGTGACATTTGTATAAAAAAAAAAAAAAATGTGGAGCCACCTTTGTGGTCTTTCACTTTACAGTGATTGAATTTTATGAATCTCGAGTTTATTTTTTGGGTCTAAAAGGTTCCTATCTAAGATGAGTTCTTAATCATAAAAAAACAAACCATAAAAAAGAAAAAAACTTTAAATAATTATATATAATTTATGGCACACATTTTTATTTTATATCGATTATGACATTTTTTTTTCTTCATAATGTTTAAATCTGCAAACCCAAAATAACTGGTCACATATAACTCTTAATGCATCTTAAAAAAAAAGGTCATAAAGTCAAACTACTGAACACTTTCCCAGGTATAGGGATTGAGCTGATGGAGCAGCGACAAACCTCTTAAGTTGCACCCTAACTTTACTAATAATTAAATCTTAGTGCAGAGCCCCCAAAAATTAAAAGGAGTTAATTACACCAAAAACCCTCAATTATTAGTAAGTATTACTCCTCAGGTATGAATCCATACATTTTAGCCATTTTAATTATGAAAACCAAACAAATACGTTCATTTTGGAGGTGGTCTAAAGGAAGTGAAAGTGATATATTTTCGTAGTTGAACCGGTCAAAATGTACCAATAAATAATGTTCGCTAATAGCTAAGAAGTTAAGACGTTTTGGTGTAATTAACCCAAAATAATTCCTGGAACCCCTCAACCGAGGCATCAAATTCCAAACAGTTCATTTCTCAAACATGAATAAGAAGAAAATAATGGCACATAATTAATACAGAGAAGTTGAAAAGTTCACAATCTCTACCCTATAAATCACCCACTACAATTCAAAACTTTCAAATGCATCAAGCCATCTCTTTCTTGATCCAACATTTCCAACAACAACAATGGCTGGAAAGCTCCCAAGCTTGAAGGCCAAGGCTGTAATTTATGAAAACAGCAGCGATGATGACAATGACGACAACAAAGATACAGGAAATGATAATCTAGGCCTTTCATTGGAGAAGCACGATGACAATGATGACAACAAAGATAAAGGAAATGATAATCTAGACTTGTCATTAGAGAAGCTAAACCTCTGTCCGAGGAAGAAGCTTCTTGTTCTTGGCCTTAATGGGCTGCTGGTGCATCGGGTTCATAGCCGTTATGGTGTTAGGACTAACGTTCAAATCGATCGTCATCCAGATGGAATTGCCGGAAACTTTCTTGGTGAAAATTTGTTATTTTCTGTTTGTTTAATTGTTACTATCTTCTTCTTGTTCAGGCCTAGTTATTTCTTTCTCTAATCATGCAGTGTTCAATAGGCCTTACTGTAGTGCGTTTCTGGAATTCTGTTTTGAGAGATTTGAGGTGGGAATATGGTCTTCTGCTAGGGAGTAAGTATTCCAATTTGGTTCTGTTTCTGTTTTTTATTTTCCAAAACTCACAACAAAAATAGAAACTACTTAACACGAATGAAAATTGAGTGTTTCTGATATTTTCATTGTTTTTTTTTTTATTTTATTTAAATGGAAACAAAGAAAATGCAAGGACACAATCAGGTTCCTAATATTATCCATGGATATGAACGGACATATGACATGACATAGATATACGAACATTAAAATTTAAATATGTGCAAAATATATAGTTTAATGTATTTATTACATGTCATATATATCAATGTTTAATTCAAAATTAAAATAAATCTAAAAGAGCAGAATAGTTGTAAATTTACATTAATTTTATTTTATTATTAGATTTAAAGTTATTTGAAATGTTCGTGCATGTTAGCTTCTAATGTGTGTTCTGTCTCACTGTTGTTAAAACAATAGATGGAACATAGATGGTGTTTTGAGTACTATCACAAGCGGATTGAAAAACAAGGTTCTGTTTGTGTGGGTATGTATAATCTAAATGATTTTGTGCCCACTTTGAAACTTGTATTGTTTCAGTGTAGTGTTTTGTTTTTTTTTCTAGGACCATTTTTTTTTTTTTTTTTATAATAATAAAAAAATTAGAATTTTAAAATAAGTTTCTGATAATCATCTTTTTTCAAAATTTTCGAATTATTTTTACTTTAAGAACTTTAAAGAAAAACTATACCAATATAATAGTGACATTTGTATAAAAAAAAAATGTGGAGCCACCTTTGTGGTCTTTCACTTTAAAGTGATTGAATTTTATGAATCTCGAGTTTATTTTTTGGGTCTAAAAGGTTCCTATCTAAGATGAGTTCTTAATCATAAAAAAACAAACCATAAAAAAGAAGAAAACTTTAAATAATTATATAATTTGTGGCACACGTTTTTATTTTATATCGATTATGACATTTTTTTTTTCTTCATAATGTTTAAATCTGCAAACCCAAAATAACCGGTCACATAGAACTCTTAATGCATCTTAAAAAAAAGCTCCCAAAATCAAACTATTGAACACTTTCCCAGGTATAGGGATTGAGCTGATGGAGCAACGACAAACCTCTTAAGTTGTACTCTTAACTTTACTAATAATTAAATCTTAGTGCAGAGCCCCCAAAAATTAAAAGGAGTTAATTACACCAAAAACCCTCAATTATTAGTAAGTATTACTCCTCAGGTATGAATCCATACATTTTAGCCATTTTAATTATGAAAACCAAACAAATACGTTCATTTTGGAGGTGGTCTAAAGGAAGTGAAAGTGATATATTTTCGTAGTTGAACCGGTCAAAATGTACCAATAAATAATGTTCGCTAATAGCTAAGAAGTTAAGACGTTTTGGTGTAATTAACCCAAAATAATTCCTGGAACCCCTCAACCGAGGCATCAAATTCCAAACAGTTCATTTCTCAAACATGAATAAGAAGAAAACAATGGCACATAATTAATACAGAGAAGTTGATAAGTTCACAATCTCTACCCTATAAATCACCCACTACGATTCAAAACTTTCAAATGCATCAAGCCATCTCTTTCTTGATCCAACATTTCCAACAACAACAATGGCTGGAAAGCTCCCAAGCTTGAAGGCCAAGGCTGTAATTTATGAAAACAGCAGCGATGATGACAATGACGACAACAAAGATACAGGAAATGATCATCTAGGCCTTTCATTGGAGAAGCACGATGACAATGATGACAACAAAGATAAAGGAAATGATAATCTAGACTTGTCATTAGAGAAGCTAAACCTCTGTCCGAGGAAGAAGCTTCTTGTTCTTGGCCTTAATGGGCTGCTGGTGCATCGGGTTCATAGCCGTTATGGTGTTAGGACTAACGTTCAAATCGATCGTCATCCAGATGGAATTGCCGGAAACTTTCTTGGTGAAAATTTGTTATTTTCTGTTTGTTTAATTGTTACTATCTTCTTCTTGTTCAGACCTAGTTATTTCTTTCTCTAATCATGCAGTGTTCAATAGGCCTTACTGTAGTGCGTTTCTGGAATTCTGTTTTGAGAGATTTGAGGTGGGAATATGGTCTTCTGCTAGGGAGTAAGTATTCCAATTTGGTTCTGTTTCTGTTTTTTATTTTCCAAAACTCACAACAAAAATAGAAACTACTTAACACGAATGAAAATTGAGTGTTTCTGATATTTTCATTGTTTTTTTTTTTATTTTATTTAAATGGAAACAAAGAAAATGCAAGGACACAATCAGGTTCCTAATATTATCCATGGATATAAACGGACATATGACATGACACAGATATACGAACATTAAAATTTAAATATGTGCAAAATATATAGTTTAATGTATTTATTACATGTCATATATATCAATGTTTAATTCAAAATTAAAATAAATCTAAAAGAGCAGAATAGTTATAAATTTACATTAATTTTATTTTATTGTTAGATTTAAAGTTATTTGAAATGTTCGTGCATGTTAGCTTCTAATGTGTGTTCTGTTTCACTGTTGTTAAAACAATAGATGGAACATAGATGGTGTTTTGAGTACTATCACAAGCGGATTGAAAAACAAGGTTCTGTTTGTGTGGGTATGTATAATCTAAATGATTTTGTGCCCACTTTGAAACTTGTATTGTTATTATGAAGTGTTTTGTTTTTTTTTCTAGGACCAAGAACAATGTACTGATTCTGGGTTCAAGAGCTTGGATAACAAAAATAAACCCATATTCTTTAAGGAGCTGGGGAAACTATGGAAGGACTTTAATTTACCGTGGCCTCGCAGACAATACTCTTCATCGAACACATTGTTGATAGAAGAAGAACCATGCAAGGCTTTGCTCAATCCTGTAATTTTTAGTTTCTTTGTATATTTTTCTGATTGCAAATTATTTGAATGTCATGTTATTCGCTTCAAGCTCTTTTCCTTTACTTTTTGCAGCCTAACACAGCAATTTTTCCTGATTCGTACGAGGTTGGGAATGACAACGACACTGTTTTAGGTGATATGATTGTTATCAAATCTTGTAAATAGTAATATGTTGTATTAAAATATTGGAGTTATATTTAAAACGATTTTATAATTTTGTCATTAGGTCCTGAGGAGGAGCTGCGAGAATTCTTAAATGGCTTAGCTGACGCTGATAATGTTCAATCTTATGTGAAAGAGAACCGGGTTGGACAGCCAGCAATCACAGAGGCACATCCAGAATGGGCTTACTATTCGAAGATTGTTCATAAATTTGTTAAGAGGAGATGAAGAATAGAAGATGATGATGCAATTTGAATACACAGATTTTTCATGGATTGAATTGGTACAATGCTTAGTTTTTGGAATTTGAACTTTTGTGCTATGTTAAAATTTTCAATTAAAAGTATTATGTGAAATGTTCAATATGTCCTAGGATGAAGTATTTTAATAAATAGAGAACCTTCTTTTCTATATGAATTGATATTAGAACATTTTGAATCCTTCCTGATACCTCCCAATGAAAATCTACGATTGTATCCCAAACTGGCAGGTTATTGTGAGCTTTCCCCAGTTAAGAGAAGAGCCTTACAGAGTAAAGTTCCACATCTCAAACATAAAAGCAGTGGCAACAAAACATTGCAAAAAGTAAAATTCTTTGAAAAACAAATGGAACATTTAGATAAGTTCTTTTCCAATAAAATGTTACAACAAGAATGGATGGTTAAAATTAGCCTCAATAACCAATCATAATGTCGGCCTCGAAGTCTCTATAGAAGACCTAATATTGTCTTTAAGATTTAACAACTATATCTAAACTAAAAGATAACTGAAAAAATGAACGATGAACACGAAAAACCATACCTTCATAACTATTCTATTAGCACAGACACATTGATGTCTGGATATGGTCTCTGATCAGATGTGGGTTCTGAGCCATTCCACTCAGCGCTGTCCATTGATGTGGCATTCATGTTCTGTTTATTGCTTGTGCTTTTATCTGCTTCTCCATGGCTTTGTTGTAGCGGTAATTGAGACGTTGGAGTCAGCCACGTGTCGCCAGCTGGTGCTGCTTGAGAGATTGGTGTTGCTGCTGTCACGGTATCTAGGGCACTCGGGGTAATAGAAGTGATTCTAGGTTCATAATTGTGCTTTCTTTTGTGTACCTTGTAACCATTTGGCATGAAGCTCCCCACCACAATCTACCAGAATCAACATTATAAAGTACAACAAATGAAAGGACACCAAAATTTAGATATGAATTTCAAGATTAAATGTGAGAGCTTTATGATGAAAAAGATATAATGGATTTGAAGTAAGTAATTATTTGAAATCTTTGTTACAATTAGGGGCGGAGGGAAGTAAAGGCTCAATTTTGTGTAATTACACTGTTATCTATATATTTGTAAAAAAAAATTATTTAGTCCCAAAAAAATTATAATTGTGCCCACCCTAATTTATTAAGATCCGTTAAAAATTAATATTTAGAAATCCTTCTCAATTGAAAAAAGATTGAGACTCACAAGTTTTACAATTTATTCACAATGATGTGTCAAGTTATGTATCAACTTTTAATTTATTACAATTGCATAAGAATTTTGAATTCAGATATAATTATTTTTCTCTTCTCTCTCTTTTATGTTATTTTTCTTTTTGGGTAATTTACAATTAAAATTTTGTTTTCTTACTCTACCCCATCTTCCCCTTTTGTCAATCTATATATAATAATCAATACTCCCATATTTTTATAAAATTTAATCTGAAATCCCTTCATTTGAAATGGATTAATCCAAGCGGATACACGTCTTATTTAACATCTAGCAGAACAATGCTCAATTATCGTAATCAGTATGCAATTGAAAGTAAGAATCACAAGTGTATATATGTAGATATATTCTTACTTGGATTGGGCTAGCAGCCATTAATAAACCAGCAATGCCACCACCAATAACACGACCATCGGGACCTGCCAGCGAGACACTTAATCCGCCAGTCCTACTTCTCACACCGCCATTTTCAGAGACTGTAAATGACCCTGTTAGGGACAGTATCTCAAAGCGGCCCTGCATCAAATTTAAGTTCACAAATTTGGGATTAACAAAACAAACACATCATGTCATAATGTGCATTCCTGAGAAGTAAAGAAATTAATATTTTCATATAAAAATGCACAGAGAAATTTGTTACTTTTCCCTTCCTTTCTTCCTTTCTTCCTTTCCCTCCACAAATTTCAACCCAAATTCAAAAAAATCCAAACATAGCCTTAATGTACTAGATTTCTTAGCAAAATCTGTATGCATTTCTATTTGTTGCTATAGGAATCATTTTCAAAGGAGAAAATTAGAATAAGCCACAGCTCCATATGACAACGCCAAAAAACATTTGCATTTCTACTCAAACATAAGATGTTGGATTGGAAATTTTTCTGTTGTGAATTTTTGACAAATGTTGTCCTCTAGATTAATACAGGGGACAGAATGTAGCTGTCCGCTAATGCCTTGCTTAATTATGTTTTTACAATTTTATTGTACTCTGTGATTCCTTACAGAAACCATCTGAGGCAAACCTCAAGTTTTGCAGTCACATAAGGTGTAATCAAAAGTCAAACTGCAAAACCATTTCTAGAATGAACAAGAATGACTAAAATTATACACTAATGTTGTGTTTGGTTGAGAGATTTGAGGAGGGATTTGGAAAGGAAAATGAAAAAAGTAGGTGAAATGTGAATAAAACATGCCTAAATTTCACCTAGTTTCACACACCTTTTCCCTTTCTCTTTCTCTTTCCAAATCCCTCCTCAAATCCTCCAACCAAACACAGCATGATGGGATCATCATTCGCTCAACGATTCACTATATTTGGGCTTTTGAAAAAGAAAAAAAAGAAACCGAAAATAGCAGGTTAAAGGAATGTGGCCCCAAGAGAGAGAGGCCCTCCCAACAAATACAGTCCTTGATGTAAAAAGCCATATTTCACTCTGGAGAATAATTAGCATGCAATGTAAAGCACAAAAATTCATAATAAAAATAAAATAAAATAGTTTGGCTAACTGTTTATAAAAACAATTTTTGTGAAAATTTTCTAAAAACAATCTACATTTTAAGAAAGGTGATAAGGTTGTTTTTGAATTTTCAAAAATTGCTTTTGCGCAAAAATCAAAATGACAGGTGTTTTTCAACTTTCATTGTTTCTGTATCTGAAAACTTGAGAAATAAAAACAAAAAACAAAATTGAATAGGCTAAAGAAAACTCAACAATACTAATAACCATAAAATGAAAGAGCACATAGATAAGAAAGAGATCTACATGACCGTAATTGTTCGACTCAAAGAAGAGAAAGAAAAACATATTTGGGGGCATTGCATCCAGGGCCGCCCTGAAACTTAGGACGCCTAAGGCGAATTTTGAAAATGGGACTCCTCTTATATTGAAAAAAAAAAAATTATGGATAAAACGACAAATTATAACAACTTTTTTTTTTGTAGCCACAAAAAAATTTACTTGTACGTATAATCATTAAAATTATGAACAAAAATTTATTTTCATATATTAAGATAGGAAGCAATCATTACAAATATTCAAAAAAAATAAAAATCTATCCCAATCATTAGTTTGGCGTAGCAGGCTGCAGTTTTTAAGATCTGTGAACTGTGTTTCTTTTTTTTTTTTTTGGGCCCCACGTTCAATTGGGCCTATAGTAGTTGAGATTTTTTTTATATTTAAAACACAAAATTATATTTGAGACCTATATTTTTAGCCCAAATTTAGAGGCCTAAGGCGCAGGCCTCTCTTACTTGCCCTCAAGACTAAGTCTGATTGCATATATACCTCATATGTCAAGAGGCCGCCAGAGGAACCGGGCTGGCGAATAGTAACATTAGAAACAGCTCCATTGGCAGAGAGGACGCAAATTCCTAGGGGACCCTTTTGCGAAAATGAAAGAATCTTTGCAGCAACATCCTGCAAAGTAAGAAAACAGAATTTCTCTAAGGTATCAAAGAACAAACATGAGATCTGCATACATTGACGTAACAAAATAGAATTTTTTCTAAGGTACCAAAGAAAATACATGAGATCTGCATAACGATATATTCCACATTTTAACAAGCAATTATAGATGTATCAAAATAGAATTTTTTCTAAGTTAGCAAAGAACAAACATGAGATTTGCATAAAGATATTTCACATTTTTAACAAATTTAAGGGAAAACTAATTTACATAAATTTATGATTACTACCTCTCCTGAAATTGAAAAAAAAAAAAATTATGGATAAAACGACAAATTATAACAACTTTTTTTTTTGTAGTCACAAAAAAATTTACTTGTACGTATAATCATTAAAATTATAAACAAAAATTTATTTTCATATATTAAGATAGGAAGCAATCATTACAAATATTCAAAAAAAATAAAAATCTATCACAATCATTAGTTTGGCGTAGCAGGCTGCAGTTTTTAAGATCTGTGAACTGTGTTTCTTTTTTTTTTTTTTGGGCCTCACGTTCAATTGGGCTTATAGTAGTTGAGATTTTTTTTATATTTAAAACACAAAATTATATTTGAGACCTATATTTTTAGCCCAAATTTAGAGGCCTAAGGCGCAGGCCTCTCTTACTTGCCCTCAAGACTAAGTCTGATTGCATATATACCTCATATGTCAAGAGGCCGCCAGAGGAACCGGGCTGGCGAATAGTAACATTAGAAACAGCTCCATTGGCAGAGAGGACGCAAATTCCTAGGGGACCCTTTTGCGAAAATGAAAGAATCTTTGCAGCAACATCCTGCAAAGTAAGAAAACAGAATTTCTCTAAGGTATCAAAGAACAAACATGAGATCTGCATACATTGACGTAACAAAATAGAATTTTTTCTAAGGTACCAAAGAAAATACATGAGATCTGCATAACGATATATTCCACATTTTAACAAGCAATTATAGATGTATCAAAATAGAATTTTTTCTAAGTTAGCAAAGAACAAACATGAGATTTGCATAAAGATATTTCACATTTTTAACAAATTTAAGGGAAATCTAATTTACATAAATTTATGATTACTACCTCTCCTGAATTTACAGTCACAACATGTGGTGTGAAGTCCCCTCCGGCCGTGTTCGTGAACAACTCACCTTCACAGATCAAGGTACCAAATGTGAGGTAAATCTAAAATAAAGCAAAAATTAAAACCCATTTCTTTGAAAGTAGAACATTGATAATCAATAGAATAGCACAACATTGTCCTCATCCTTTCTAAGAACATGAAAATTCCCGTGTCTAATATAATTTTTTGAAAAAAAGGAAAATTTCATCAAATTCCCATGCTTCATTTCTTTATCCATACAAAATTAATGAAACCCTAGTCTTTTTTCTTTTCTTTTCTTTTCTTCTTCTTCCTGAAAATCAAAGTCCCAAATTGAAGAACAAAGTAATAGTAATTGCAACAACCATAAAACAATCAAAAGAACCCAATCTGCCCAAAACCCTTATTAGGTTGTTTGCTTTAGAATGTGTTTGAATCATAAAATTGGATAGAAATCTAAAAAGAAAAGGAAAAAAAAATACAGAAATGTGAGTGAAATAAGTTGTTTTTTTTTTCTTCTCAATTCACTGTTCTCTCTTTTCAAATTTCTATTCTAATTATGATCTAAACACAGTCTAAAAATTTGACTACAATAACACATACATATAAACAAATGTGTGTATGCATGAAAAAGATATATATATATATATATATAGAGAGAGAGAGAGAGAGTTAATCTGCTGGAAATGTAAGGCTTGATTTTTGATACATCTCACCTAAAGAAGCAAGCAACTGCCAGTTACCAGAACCAGATGGGCGTCCACGGCCTCTTTTGGAAGAGAACTCAGAAGAAGCAGCAGGAAGTGATAAACAAAAACCTGGTGGTGGTGGTGCTTGTGCTGGTGGTGGTGACACACATGATAGTCTCAAATTACCATCTGAGTCATACTTCCTCGGCCTCCCTCTCTTCTTCTTTCCCACCAAATCACCACCACCACCACCACCACCATCGCCGCCTGGGGTGACTCCTACGCTTCTCTCCATTCTCATGTTGACAGCAGCCATGTTCACGCCCTGTGGCAGCAACCCACCACTACCCCCGCCGCCGCCGTGCACCGGCGTCGACTGGGTGACCGAGTTAACTGCCGGCGACCCAGATGCCAAAATCTCCTTCTCTTCCATACCGAGGAATTTTTTTCTCACTAAAAATGGGAATAAAGACAAAGACAGTTCTAGAGAGAGAGAGAGGGAGAAGAGGTCTTTGAAAGAAAGCTTTTCTTTGGTTCTGCAAAATGGCGCCAGAAGAAGTAGAGAAATAGAAGGAGAAGCTAAATAAACCTTTTTTTGAGTGTGTAATTTGTTGAAAGAGAGTTTGTAAAGTTAAGTTCCCTCCATTAAAGGCAAGGCATGAAGACTTTAAAAGAAATAAAAATTGATCTTGCCTTTGTCTGCACTCTACTGTGTATTGACTGAGGAGTGTGAAATTACCAGAAAACCCTTTTGTCAAAAAATGATTTTTTGTTTTGTTGAAAAAGGTAAAGGGAATTGCATATAAATATCATAAATCATACCTTGAATGTTTGATTTAAAGAAATTACATTTTGAATTTTTTTCTCTTTTTCATTTATACGGTATCATATTAGATCTTATTTTTTAGTTTCCAACCAAATTTAGAGAGATTTATTCTAAATGAAAAATAATAGGATTAAGTGTATTTTTTAGGATTTACATTACATCTCATTCTTAATTATTGTTTGAATAAGTATATTCATATTGGGGTTTTTCTTTATTTTCTTGACAATTACAGTTAGCTTCTTTTTTTATTTTCTTTTCTTCTTTTTTTTTTTCTTTTCTAGGCAACATACCATAAATTTTATATAACGTTTTAAAAACAAAAACAAATTTGAGTCGGGATATATAAGTTATATAATAGTAATTTGTGTTGGATAAATAAATAAATAAATAAATGAATTACAAAATTCTCTAATATGGTAAGTTTTTACAGTAATCAATTTCTAACAAATTGTAATAAAAGTGTAAAGGTGACCAAAAAAAAGAATATTTTTATTTTTATTTTTTTTGGATGCTAATGCTTAGGAAACGTAATTATCATTCTAATACTTTTGCAATTATTTTTTTCCTGATAGATATGATTTGAATCTAAGAAATCTATAGATAGCCTTCCCTAATATAACTTAATAAAAAAAGAAAAATGATTTGTCATCTTATTTTATAAAATTAAGGTAATATTTTTGTTGAATGCAGCATTAACACCATTTTTTAATCCTTCCTATATCGGTAGCCCAAATTCAAGGATAAATCACTAGACAAGTGAAAGGAACCCAAAGGGTAGTTTTGTCTTAAAAGAACAAATATTAAAAAATAAAGAAATTTTAATTAAAAGAATGAGGTCAAAGAGGACCAAAGTTGAGCATGCATTTTACTAATCATGAAGCTAGTTTATAATATATCAAAATTTCATAAAGTAAAACCCAACTTGCATTTTGGGACTGATGATTGAAAGGCTTAAATAACAACATTTTTAGAGTTTATAAATTAATAAGTTTTACAATTTTTTATATGTACCTGACTTGTTGCAATCACATTTTTATTAACCCCTGTTTTAAATTACAAAATTTTATTATTACATGTCAAGTTTATAAGTAAAATAAAAAATTAGTGAGCCTTGTTTTAAATTACAAAATTTTATCATTGCATATAACATCAATAAGTAAAAAAAAAAATTAGTGAGCATTTTTTTAAATTACAAAGTTTTATTATTACATGTCACATGTAAGTAAATAATTTTTGTATTTTTTTTTATTTTATTTAAAGAGTATTTTTCTTGGCAATGTGGTATGGATACTAATGACCCAAGGATTCTCGATGCAAAAACATGTACAACTGGCGGACAAATTAGAGATAAAAGAACTAAGGCGTGGCTTCTCTCAAGTCTAGGGATGGCAATTTGAAATCGACCCGACGGGGACCCGACCTCTCGACCCCGAATGGGACGGTTTTTTCCCGAAAAAAACTCCCCACGGGCCGGGGATGGGGATAGATTTCTCAACCCCGGCCCCGCCCCGGCCCCAGTACACCCTGTATATATCCCCGAATATATATAGTATATGTGTTTAGGTTATTTCATTTCATTTCACTCTTCTCTCCCACTCACACTCTCTTCTCTAGGCGATGCTCTCCCTCTCTCTGCTGCGATGCTCACGGCGATGGCGCCGGCGTCGGTCGCTCATCCTCTCTCCCTCACGGCGTCACTCCTCCCTCTCTTCTCTCGGCCTTTTTCCCTCTCTCTGCTGCGATACTCACGAGTGTGTTTAAATCTGAAGATCTGGGTGTGTTTAGGCATTTGTTATTTGTTATTAAATCTGAAGATCTGAAAATCTGAAGAAGAAGAACAGATCTGTATATATATATGATAAAGAAGAACAGATCTGATTGTTGTGTATATATATATATATCTATGATTATTTTTTTTTGATGATTGTTATATATATATAAATATATGACAGTTTTTTTTTTTTTTTATCTTCTTAATGTTGCTTTTTGAGCTCACTGAGATGTTGATGTTGTTGTTTTGGCCGGGGATTTTCGGGGTCGGGGAAACCCGATCCCCGTAGGGGGCGGGGGTGGGGTTGGTGGTGGGTTTCCCGTCGGGGATGGGGACGGGGACGGGGGGGATTTCCACCATCAGGGATCGGGGATGGAGAGGGTGATCCCCGGCCCCGCCCTGCCCCGTTGCCATTCCTACACTAGCACCAAACTTTACTCTTACCTAAAAGACCTTAAAATAACCCTATCTGCACCAAAGAATTTTTCTGTCCTTCTAATTAAAAAAAATAATCAATAAATACAACTCCGGTTTTTGGTAAACTGTGGAAACTTATGAGGTTTCGAATGGTTCGAGCAAAAACAACGTGTTTTGGTTTTTTTTTTTTTTTTCGTTTTTTCTGAGATCGATAGAACATGACAGTGAAGAAGAAGAGAGGAAGGAAGAGAAGGGGGAAGCTAGAGCTGGACAACTTCATCAACAAAACAATACATCTTCATCAAACATTATCATCATCAATCATACAAACAACAACATTTTCATCCAACATCAATCATCAATCAACATCAAACATACTTAGATCTAGGATCTACTTAGAAAAAAGAAGAAGAGCATATCCATTTCAAACCAAAATCAAAAATTGAAACAAAACCAATCCATAGCTGAATCAATCAAAATCGTCATCCAACACAGTATAATACCCGCAACTGGACGCACCATTATTAAAGACACTACCTTTCTTAGCAGAGTCTGAAGTGAAGGATCTCGTGGTAAAATCACGTGCTTCCAGAACTGAACACGAACCCAGCAGGAAGGATACTACAAAAATGAGTATCAACCACAAAAGTCATAGTGCAAAATGGTTTGAATCGTTTTTAATGGGAGAGAGGTGAGAGAGAGAGTCTGGAAAAAAAAGGTTTGGCGTAGAAAACTATTACGTATTTGGATGATACGTACTCTCATCATATCAGTTGTACATAATTAAATATATTATAACCAATATCTTACTCTATCCATCTATCCAATCTATTGAATTGATTGATATAGGATTCCTGAATGGTTATCTAAATAAGTTTTGAATTCCAAATTCAAACTTAACATGGATTAAAAGGGTTCAAAAGGTTAGGTTCAAAAGGTTCAAAGAGTCATGCCACATGGCGCCCAATTTTCTAACAAAAATCAAAATCAAATCAAAATCAAACCACCGCGATCAGACACAAAAAATCAAACCCACCACAAAAATCAAGACCCAAACCCCCGAGAAGAAGCATCAACAACACATCATAATCAACACACAACAGATACACAAGAGATACCACACATGTAATTCCCCTCTCTTCTCTCTTCCTTCGTCTTTCTCTCTCTTTTCTCTTTTCTCTTCCCTGTTTTCAAGCAATACAAAGGGGAAAGGAAGGAAAAAAAAAATACCAAACGCCGTCGTTTTTGGATTGATAGGTCCGAAAGTGGGGTAGTAGCCAGTGTCGCACTTCGAGCTGACATTGACACTAAGCCATATCACTCTCAGATTATCACTCCCCACTCGCGCTAGTGAAGTTGTTTTGGAGGAGCGTGTTTAGTTAAGAGGAGTGTGGGCTGGTCTTTTTGGAAATGATAGTTTTGGAATAGGCCTATTAGTAATTTTCTAGTTGGAATAAATTATAATATTTTTCTTAATTTTTGAATTAAAATAGAATTTATTTTTTATGATTTAAAAAATTACTTTCATTTTTGAATATTTTTAAATTTCATAACAAAATGTTTATTTTTTAATAAATTATCAAATCAATTAATAGTTTTTTTAATGATGTAGAAATTGTTTTCAATAATAATTTAGATAATTTTATTATTGTATAGGAGAATATTATGATTCATTTTTAGTTAATTCTATTAAATAAAAATTCTAACCATGGGGTATTTTGTAATATTTCAAAACAGGAGCCAATTCTGTACTTTAAGTAAACATTAGGAGTTTATTTTAATTTATCTTTTTAGTTAAAATCAATAAGGTGAAAAATTGGTATGCTTTGGATTAATCTTTTAGCTTTTATGGAAACATGTAAAAATTAAGAAGAAGGATAATGCTTTGATTTTTTTAGTGACTTTTTACTTTTTTAAGATGTTACAAACCACGCCTAAATATTCAAAATTAAAAAAGTTACTTGGGTTTTGGAATTTGCTTATTTTTTAATTTATTGAACTTTTTACGAAATGATATATAAAAAAATTAAAATAGGTAATACGACAAACATTGTAAAAGATAAGAAAATAAGATTGTTTATTTACCTGGATTGGGGAAGTTTGTTAATTTAACCTGACTTTTTCTTTTTGATTAATTTAGCATGGGCTAGAATTATTCTTGAAAAAAAGAAATTGACATTTTTTGTTTGGACTGTGATAGTTTAGGAAAGAAAAATCTTGAAAAATTATGGTTTGGCCTGTGAACATTTTTCTTGTGGTTTAATTAGCCTATTTTGTCTTTTGTACTAATTAGTTACTTTAACCTTGCCAATGGGACCAAGGGATGCTGTTGTGGTTAAGTCACAGCAACGATAGTTTGTGGTGCCCAGTTGGAGAACTTTTTCTTGGATTTTTTTTTTTTAATAATTCGAACTGTTCATATTATAGGATTCGTTGAATATATCATACAATAAAATCAAATTGATTGGGGGAAATGTATAGAATATAACAAAGCAATTTAATATTTAAAAATAAATGGTTAGCAATGATCTTAAATAATTTTAATAAAACAATTTGAAACTGGATACCGAAGGGCTAATCTAACAGTTCGATAGTTATAGTACTCTGCATCGGAGTA